CATTTGATTTGATAGTTTTTAGTGCATATTAAATCAGTTTTTTTTAAGGAAAACGTGGAAAAATTACTTTCAGTGATTTGGGAAAAAATCTCTGATTCTGTTGTCCTAATTGTTTGGTGATACAATTACAAATTTTATTAGTGGTTATATATTATATATTTACATTATTAGTTGTGTTTTGTGTGCATGTTGTGTACACCATAAAGTAAATATTATTTCCATTATTACTTGCTAAATTACAGTACTGTGTAGTCGTGGTACTGCTGGTCGTACAGGTTTTTTTTGTATTAATTTTTTTGTATATATATACTGTATATGTGTGTGTGTGTGTTGATTCCTGAACTTTAGTTGTGATCACCACCTTTTGCTGCAGCTCAGAGGACCTAGAGATTTTTCTTTTTTCTTTTTTTCATTACTGGTGAGGTCAGGAAACAGTTGTGTATCCCCCTCAAATGCATTTAATAAAATGTTTTGCTTCGCTTCGCGTTTCACAAACGAAGCTTGAAATCCCCTTGCTGGCTGCAGGCCGGGTATTGGTGTACACAAATTCAATCTGTACATTTTGTACGGAGGTAAACAGTACATTTTGTACATTGAGGTAAACAGACGGAATGAATTGCATTAGAGCAAGCCAATGTATTTCCAGCCAGCCAGTTTTCAGCCCTTGCTCCGTTTGTGTGCAACAATCTAAAACTTATTTATTAGGGAAAAAAAACACTTGATCCGAGGCGCAAAAAAAAATCCCCTTTCAGCCGAATAAAGACAAAAGCAAGCAGTAAGGCGATATAAGAATTTTAATTGAGGGTCACAGCTTGCACACTATATTTGTTCATATTTTATGAAGTGCACGGCAGCCCTTCACTCATATGTCCCCTGAAAGCATCGTTAGGCGTCTGTCGCACTTTTAGTCCGTTAAATATGACCGTGTGCCTCCAGAAGAGTGATTCACTTCTGTTTGTGCAGCTATAAAAGGATCGAGCAATATGAAAAGTCATAAAATGAAGCGCGCTATCAATCACGCGGCAACTGTTTCAGAACAAACAATGTAATGATTTCAAATGATCGTTATTGTTGATGCAGTTGATTTTTTTCTTGCTATGATACACGAGGAAAAATACAATTGTGAACAGCGAATAGTAAAAGTGTTCGTTCATGCATGTGAATAATTTCCGTCTTAAACACCAATCGTACACTCTTAAAAAAATAATAAAGGTTGCTCTTAGAACCTGAAATTGTCATTTGAGAAAATGATTTTTAAAGAACTTTTATTTTGTAGTTTTTTAGAATCTGTAAACGAATGGATCTTAAAAGTCTACAATTCTCGTTTGATGTCTCCAAAGAAGCATATAAACAACTCAAGTTGGAGTTGTTTGAATAGAACAAGCGAAGAACCGTTATTTTAAGCGTGTAGAATAAAAGGATTACAACTCCAGCAAGATAAAAAACAACACAACCGCGTTGGAATTATATTTACGTCTCTGGTTTAAAGCCACATCCTCATCCCAATTCAAAAAGCCCCAGTCTATTTCCTGGCCAAAAGCAAAGTGTGAGATACAAACACAAACCCGAGATCTTCCATTACGCGCCCGGTGCCTCGTTCGCCTTCTCTGACATTTCGGATATCAAAACGCAGCGCAAGAACAATTGTTTCCAAATTGAATCCGCACTCTCTTCCTTTCCTCATTTTCAGCGAGGCATATACATTTCCCCGGCGAGTCAAGAGTCGCATCTGACCCGGCGTCTGGAAGCGAGCGCTCTTGTTCTTACCAGCAGATTGGTGGCTTGTCAAAAAAGCGTCGAAAGTTTCTCGCTCGGACGCGTCCTTTGTGCGCGCTGAAAAGACACCATTCACTCTTGCAAATAAAGGAGTTCTTTAAACCATCCCACTGACATCTGCTTAGAGTCTTGTTTGCGCTGGTTGTCTGATATTTTTCACCGGCACCGTGTGTGACAAAAGCTATTGTGTTAATTGGTGTAAATGCAGGTTCGTTTATTGGTGGTTAGACGGGCTGCACAGTGTTCTTTGCATGAAATAAATCAAGTTAATTTGGGGCAATTGGATGAACAATCAATGCAACGAATACAATTTGTCAGCGTAGAGTGTTTAAAGTCTAAATGTATCTATTTTGGTGCGAAAGTCCTCGCACTCCCCCCCCTTGCTTCGGTGGGGGTTTCCCTGTGTCTGCGCGCATCAGCCCTGGAAGCCCATTTCTGACTCTGACTTTCCACCGAATTATGCACCTAATTTGCTCACATATCATTTACTCCAAGTTCCTCCCGCCGTGACAGTCGGGCCTAAACACTACTAAATCAGCCCTAATTTATACTGATCTCGCTAATAATCGTAATAAAAAGCTTATAGATTTGGCACTAATTACATAAAAGCCTAATGATGTTGAAAATTACCCTGGTTTGAGATATAGGGCTAATCTAAACTTTGTTGTTGGCTGCCCCGGGCTACTAGAAACATTAGAAGAGGTTCACTTCGTCTCCAAAAGGCGAGAGTTGGACATGGCACGACACGAAGGCCTTTTTTTCCACGAGGAAACGCGAAATTATCACTAACGATTAAGTGACAAAAGTGGAAAATCTCGGGGAACTTTATAATTAAAACGCGAATAAAACGCGCATAAAAACCAAGCAAATGAGTCCATATCATAAAGAGAGCACTGTTTGAACGTTTAGTCCAGTAATAAACTTCGGGAAGCCATTACTAAACCATATGGCTTTGATAAGGATGACACGTTTATATAACAATACTTTAATTCGCTGTTTCTCCTCAAATAATCAGGGCCCCATCAATGATTCTGGCATCACGCTCAATTAAACCAGTTCTGAGGGAGTTTCTCGAAGAGCTTTCTGAAGGAGGTCATTTTAAAGGTTATAATTTGGGGATCAAAAAACGAGGAGAAATGAACTTGGGAGGGCAGCAAGAGAGTCTCTCGCGCATCCGACACCTCCAGGCTTCAACGCTGATTGGCTCTCATTTGAAGGAGCTCATGGGTTCATTCAACTATTAAGCGCCTCCCAGTTCCTCTAAAGGACATTATAATGCAAGGGACCTCCTTTTTAACCACAAACCGAATTTGCTTTCATTTAGGCCATATATATTTTTTAAATAGTTTAAAGTCATAGAGATTTTTTTGGGAAAGCATTTCGCCCTGGAGCGGTGCGCGATGCTTTCGCACGCCGACCTGCTGGATGCTCGCATATATATATATATATATATATATATATATATGATATTTTCATAAAATATTATGCGTTGTTGTAGGCTGAAATTATTATGTTTGAAATGAAAAAGGGAAATCGATACATCTAAAGCACTATATAATTATTATTATTATTACTCGGATTATATTTTCTATAAAATGCATTCCCAAAGAATATTTAGGTAGATAATTTAGCTAGATATTTATTATAAAGGTTTTTTAACCCCCACAAATACTAATGTTGATTATTAAAAATACGAAGTCTAAGAGATAACGAAATGAAAACGCTTTATATTTTAATTTGAAGAAGACCAGCCTATTTTTTTATTATAAAGAGAATTCGTATTTCTGTTTGTTTACATGAGTTTGTCGATAGAACATTAGCACAAAAATCCTTGCATGAAAATACTATAATAGTTTATGAAAACGCTCTTAAATGTGATGAAAACATCTCCGAACGAGCTCTGTCGTCAATAAAACAATGAAAATAAATTAATTATAGCCTAAATAATGTCTACAAAACTGTTAAATTCATATTAATATTCAGTGTAAACATCCATGGTGTTTTAAATGAGACAGCATGTCCTGTTTATTATTTGTATTATTAGTAGCATATTTATTTTCTCAATTTGTTTCATAGTTTAAAATAACACAACAGTATATTTATCCCAATCTCACGAATCTCTTGCTTTATTATTGTAAAATTGTGTTTATTGCCTCCGTAAAGCTTTAAGCACTACCATCATATAGGTTTTATTTATTTTGTTTTAGTGTTATAATTAGTAGTATTGTTATTGCTGTTACAGATTTCTAGGCCTATTTGTATTTGATTCAGGTTACGTTTCTATAGCAATTTTCTTGGCTCTTGAAAGTGCGCCCATTTAAACGCAGCGCGCTTTTCATGATTATGTTATTGTTCAGGTCATCTTCCTTTTACAATACCATTATTGGTTATCTTAGCCATTGGAGCAGACCGATATCTTAATCGCTTTTATAAGAGTATGACTCTTGCGGCTGCTGTGATTGGTGGTCATTCGCAAATGCAGCGGTAAATGAACCCGCGAGACAAATGTAGGACGCAACGAGCGCGCGCGGCATTCCAGCACTATCTCTGTGATCTATAGAGACTCATTATAAATGTATAGCTTTTCGAGTTGATAGTGCAATAAAACCAAGACCATTATTATTAACCAATTTCAGAATTATTTATAACTTAACAGGCTTATTAAGCTCAATGCGTAAGACTATTCTGCGTAAAATAATAACCATCATAATGAGCAGGCCTGAGACTCTGTCCTAACCATTTTATTTACATAAAAAATTAATTAGTGACATGCTGACCTCGCGGTGATCTTCTGAAACAGCACACTAGGTTCTGCAACTCTACTGTAAGCTGGAGCACTCTTCTCATCTAATTCAAGCAGAGAGAATTGACAATTTGTCTCTTATTTTATCTTAATTCGATTTAAGCGAGCTAATTCATTGGAAAAGTAATCATTATTATTATATTACGCAGTAATTTGATTTAGTCGTTTTCCAAGATATTGAGGGGAATCAAATGGAATTAGTTTTTTTTTTAAAGACGACATTGTTGTGAGCTAGTTTTTCACCATTATTTGCATTTTATGGCTGTAATGACAAATAGCAAATTGTAGTTTTTGCGTAATAATTGTGCTTGCTGTGACAGTCTAGAAAAAGTATTTTCTGCACTAACACTTCTCTCTTTTTCAGCAATGCTTGGTGTTGATTTTGAGCTCACTCAGCTTTGACCTGTTTTCTCTGCTTCAGGGATGAAGGATGCCGCGGCCGAGCTTCTGGGTCACAGGGAGGCATTGAAATGCAGGCTGGGGGGCGGCGGAACTGACCCGGGCCACCCCGGAGAACTCGCCCCGGTCTCCGATGCAGTGGAAGGGGCCACCCTTCTCCCCGGAGACGATATCAACAGTGCTGGATCCAATCCGCCGGGTGTAGCGGTGAACAGTAAGGAACAGGAGAAGCAACAGCAGCAGCAACAGAACCCCACCCAGTCCGGCGGCCAGCAGAGTCAGAAACAGAAACGGCACCGGACTCGCTTTACTCCGGCTCAGCTTAACGAGCTGGAGCGCAGCTTCGCCAAAACTCACTATCCGGACATCTTCATGCGCGAGGAGCTCGCCCTCCGGATCGCCCTGACGGAATCACGCGTGCAGGTGAGTCCGGTGGAGTCTGATCAGCACAGGTTTCGGATTGTTTCATTAATATTATTATTGCTGTATCGTCATTTACATTGTTTTAATTCTGTACAATATAATGCAGCGGTAAATGAACCCGCGAGACAAATGTAGGACGCAACGAGCGCGCGCGGCATTCCAGCACTATCTCTGTGATCTATAGAGACTCATTATAAATGTATAGCTTTTCGAGTTGATAGTGCAATAAAACCAAGACCATTATTATTAACCAATTTCAGAATTATTTATAACTTAACAGGCTTATTAAGCTCAATGCGTAAGACTATTCTGCGTAAAATAATAACCATCATAATGAGCAGGCCTGAGACTCTGTCCTAACCATTTTATTTACATAAAAAATTAATTAGTGACATGCTGACCTCGCGGTGATCTTCTGAAACAGCACACTAGGTTTGTTGCATGAATGTTTCGCGCTCTCATGAAATAGGTCTGTCAGCGTGCACGACTTAATGGCGAGCGCGCGGATGGTGCTCTGTCTTTTTTAATGGTATGAGAAATTGCATTTTCTTTTATCCTCTGAAGTGTAATGCATTTGAGGCCGCATTTCACGGCTGGCTGCGTGGAGTGGGATTCGGGAGTCTAATATGAACCCCTCCACATTTTTTCTCCCCTTTTCGTTAGGTCAAAATCTGCTCGTTAATCATTGTGAGCGCGCCTGATATCTCTATAAACCTGAAGGACCTCGGGAAATAAACACCGTGTGAGCCTTTTACGGCCCAGGGTGGGCCTTTTTATGCCCTGGTGTTGTAAAATCGAGCACATAATAATGGGGAGTCTAAATATTATGATTCCTTATCATTTAAAACAGCATTAATAGCGCCATTGTGTGATGTCGAGACGTTTATCAAGGAAAGTAGCAAAAGAAAAACAAACAAAATATTAAAATAAAAACAATGTTAGCTATACAGTCAAAAGTGGTAACCTGCAATCGCTATTTCTAACTAATTTAACCCATACAATTTTTTTTTTGTTTGTACACAATCTTCACTGAGAAATTGCTAGTAAATTTCACAATTAATTACAAAGAAACGCCAAGTTCAACACATTGAATTAAACATGATATTTTAAAATAGAAAAAGCAAAATAGTATTTCCTTGTAAACCTTACTCCAATAATCAGTTCTAACCCTACAGTGTAAATTATTTAGGTTGATTCAGTGATGTTAAATAATATTTTTGAACTTGAATGAAACTAGTTAATTGAGATGTTACCAATTGTATGTTACTATTTTTTCAGTGTAGTGTTTTAACATTTATTTTGATGTCACTAATAGCATGCAAACAAACAAATAATGCATCAGAATAATATTTTTTCCCCTGCTGTGTTAGGTGTAGGTTATTTTTGTGCAACTTATCTTTTTGTGCATCTATATTTTTTTGTGCAACATAGATTTTTTTGTATCTATATTTCTTTAGAAATATAACAAAGAAACCAAACATTGATTCTTAAGAATCTGTAATGTGACATCAAGAAATTGTGAGTCTTGTTTAAAAACACACACACTCGCACACACATGTTTGTTTTACTATACTTGTGAGGACTTTCATAGACTTCTATTGTTTTTATACTGACCTATCAATATTTTCTATCCCCTCACCCTAACTCTACCCCTACCCCTCACAGAAACCTTTTTGCATTTTAAGATAAACTTAATTTAGCAAAAATTAAGCAAATGAGCAACACAACCCCACCCCCCCATCCACCACCACCACCACCACACACACACACAATGTAGTGTTTATTTTATAATGCGTATTTATTTATTGTCTGCTTATTTTATTTTAGTGAACATAAATGATAATAACAAAAACAAACACATAATCGTAGTCGCACAACATTTTTCATTGAGCAATATTGGACGCCATGTTATACTGCTTTTTTATTAAACGTTTTAAATGCACACTTTTACATCTATTCTAATGCAATGTAAGCATTTCTGACAGCTCTTTTTGTTCCCTCTGCTTGCAGGTTTGGTTTCAGAACCGACGCGCCAAATGGAAGAAGCGCAAGAAGACCACCAACGTGTTTCGCTCACCGGGCACATTGCTGCCTACTCACCACGGCCTACCGCAGTTCCCCTCCGCCATGGGCGACAGCCTGTGCTCCTTTCACGCTAATGACACCCGCTGGGCGGCGGCCGGGATGCCGGGAGTCTCCCAGCTGCAGTTACCGCCCGCCCTAGGCCGACAACAAGCCATGGCACAGTCTCTATCCCAGTGCAGCCTGGGCGCCGGACCGCCACACAACTCCATGAGCCTGTCCAACATGTCCTCCAACGGTTCCGGCCTCCAGTCCCACCTCTACCAACCCACTTTCCCCGGTATGGTGCCCGCGTCGCTCTCTGGTCCCACCAACGTGACCGGCTCGCCTCAGCTGTGTAGCTCCCCGGACACTGACGTCTGGAGAGGGACGAGCATCGCGTCCCTCCGCCGCAAAGCGCTCGAGCACACAGTGTCCATGAGTTTCACCTAATACTTTGACGTGGTTCACCTCCTGTTTCTCGTCCACCCATCATTACTGGCCCAGTGACGCACACGGAAGTCAAAGGATACGACTGTCCTCTAGTAAACATGAACTGTGCGCACCTGATGGAAATAAAACCTAAAGCATCATAGGCTGAAAAAAAACCGAAATGTATTTATTTATTATGTCCTATTTATTTAATAATTGAATTTTTATTTATTAGCACTTTCGTTTTGCAAATTCAAAAATGTCAACAAACTGGACAGAAAACAATCTGCACATTTGCAATTTGAGAAACAAGGCGAGAGACGGTGCACTCGTTTTTATTATTATTATCATCATCATTATTATTATGGAAGAAATCGTTCAAAATTTAGGACTGTTTTATGAATCGGTGGAGGAGAGAAAGGAAAATATCTCAAAAAGAATTAAGATTCTTGACTGCATGTGCCGACCAAGGTAAACAACAACACAACATCGGGGAGATGTCATTTAAGCGAGAAGTATGAATTTGTTATATGCTGTTATATAGGATGTTTTGTGTAGATAAAGCATTCTTAACTTGTTCCCATTCGGTCAGTTTGTGATATGTTCTAAGTTCATGTATGTGCTTATACCAATATAAATTTCTTAAATGTTTGATCTTCTTAACGGCTGTTTTGTTTCCTGAACATGTTTATAACGATTGAATGTAAATTAACGAATAAATTCATTTTCAATATGTCATTATTTGACACCTCGCATCTTCTGTTATTCTTGGGGAAACATAGATCTTGACTGGTAATACTTTATTACTATTATATGCCTATATATATATATATATATATATGTTTAACAAACCCCTAATATCCATTCATAAAACCTTTATTTAAAAATGTTCACATGTATTTATAATCATTTTAATGTACACGAACTACGGATCTGCATTATATAATATATGCTAATGGATTATTATTGAAAATTATTATTAAGTGTTATCAAATCGAGTCATTATCTCTCCCAACACTACATTTTCTTCTCGTTTGGAGATGTTGCAGGGGTTGACATTAACTCGCTCTCTGATTGGCTCTCGGGCTCTTGGCATTATGACCTCATAGATGAGAAATCAGGGCTCAGCCAAATACAATCAAGAGCGCGCCATCACTGTCTGTCTTCCAGACCACTGCGATAATAATACAATCATGTATATTTGGCACAATGACTGCTGGATGAAATCAGAATTCAAACATCCATAACGAAAAAATACAAATAAAATTAAGATATTTAAAAAAAAAAAAATTTATTGAGCCATTTTTTGTGTCTTTATTGAGCTACGTAGGCTATATGAACACTTAAATATATATGTAGCTTAATAATAATAATTCCAAATAACAGGTCATCATACCTGATGATGAAGATGATGCCCAGTGCAGCCTGGGCGCCGGACCGCCACACAACTCCATGAGCCTGTCCAACATGTCCTCCAACGGTTCCGGCCTCCAGTCCCACCTCTACCAACCCACTTTCCCCGGTATGGTGCCCGCGTCGCTCTCTGGTCCCACCAACGTGACCGGCTCGCCTCAGCTGTGTAGCTCCCCGGACACTGACGTCTGGAGAGGGACGAGCATCGCGTCCCTCCGCCGCAAAGCGCTCGAGCACACAGTGTCCATGAGTTTCACCTAATACTTTGACGTGGTTCACCTCCTGTTTCTCGTCCACCCATCATTACTGGCCCAGTGACGCACACGGAAGTCAAAGGATACGACTGTCCTCTAGTAAACATGAACTGTGCGCACCTGATGGAAATAAAACCTAAAGCATCATAGCCTGAAAAAAAAGACATTTATTTATTACGTCCTATTTATTTTTTATTTATTAGCACTTTCTTTTTGCAAATTCAAAATGTCAGCAACCTGGACAGTAAACAATCTGCACATTTGAAATGTATTCGTTTGCATTTGAGAAACAAGGCGAGAGACGGTGCACTCGTTTTTATTATTATTATCATCATCATTATTATTATGGAAGAAATCGTTCAAAATTTAGGACTGTTTTATGAATCGGTGGAGGAGAGAAAGGAAAATATCTCAAAAAGAATTAAGATTCTTGACTGCATGTGCCGACCAAGGTAAACAACAACACAACATCGGGGAGATGTCATTTAAGCGAGAAGTATGAATTTGTTATATGCTGTTATATAGGATGTTTTGTGTAGATAAAGCATTCTTAACTTGTTCCCATTCGGTCAGTTTGTGATATGTTCTAAGTTCATGTATGTGCTTATACCAATATAAATTTCTTAAATGTTTGATCTTCTTAACGGCTGTTTTGTTTCCTGAACATGTTTATAACGATTGAATGTAAATTAACGAATAAATTCATTTTCAATATGTCATTATTTGACACCTCGCATCTTCTGTTATTCTTGGGGAAACATAGATCTTGACTGGTAATACTTTATTACTATTATATGCCTATATATATATATATATATATATATGTTTAACAAACCCCTAATATCCATTCATAAAACCTTTATTTAAAAATGTTCACATGTATTTATAATCATTTTAATGTACACGAACTACGGATCTGCATTATATAATATATGCTAATGGCTTATTATTGAAAATTATTATTAAGTGTTATCAAATCGAGTCATTATCTCTCCCAACACTACATTTTTCTTCTCGTTTGGAGTTGTTGCAGGGGTTGACATTTACTCGCTCTCTGATTGGCTCTCGGGCTCTTGGCATTATGACCTCATAGAAGAGAAATCAGGGCTCAGCCAAATACAATCAAGAGCGCGCCATCACTGTCTGTCTTCCAGACCACTGCGATAATAATACAATCATGTATATTTGGCACAATGACTGCTGGATGAAATCAGAATTCAAACATCCATAACGAAAAAATACAAATAAAATTAAGATATTTAAAAAAAAAAAAAATTATTGAGCCATTTTCTGTGTCTTTATTGAGCTACGTAGGCTATATGAACACTTAAATATATATGTAGCTTAATAATAATAATTCCAAATAACAGGTCATCATACCTGATGATGAAGATGATGATAATAATAATAATAATAATTATTATTATTATGTAAGAGAAGGGATTGATTTAATTCCCAAAGACGCATATTTATGCTGATGTACCTATATTGGAATTATCTGCATGAATTTAATTAATTTAATTTGGTTATTAAATCATAATGCAAGAACGCTGTTACTCGCGTTTATAGCTATGAGAAGATGTCAGATCTTCAGTTATACATTGTGGCCCAAATTAGCCTATATGAGGTTAAAAGCGACGACATGAGGCATTGCATATTATGGGCTATTATCAACACTGCCTGAGCTCTGCAATCATCCAGTTATTGTTTAAAAATCAAGAATCATATTTATAAAACGGATATGGTTGTACTGCTTGTTTGAACGTGTAATAGTGAGGAGGCAGGTTGTATTTGTGAGCGCGCGCGTCTAAAAGAGAGATCAGGTGATATGTACGGATGTGCTCCTTGCAAACAGATGCGAGATGATATTACATAAATATTATAATTTGTCTCAGTACCTGCCGGGTTAATTAGTTTGTGGAAATGCGAAGGCCGTTCCTCGTTAGCTAATTTGTCACAAGCTGACGAGAGAGGCGAACGTTGACCCTCCACAATGCATTGCGCGAGAGAGCTGAGGGGAGAATGTGGCGCGGAGGCCGCCTGCTTACCTCCAATCCATCTCCCGCAAATAAATGAAATCAGTCAATAAAGCATCGGAGGGTGAATATAGCTCTCTCTGTCTAAGTTATGAATGAGAACTCATTAATTTTCCAGGCCTAAAATGTGTGCGCGCTCGTGTGAACGTATGTGTAGCTATGTGTGTGTGTGTGAGAGAGAGACTACAGGCATGCAGTAATGAGAGAGAGAGAGAGAGAATATGAAGCTGAGGTTATAGGGTTACATGCTAGAATTAAAACATTAAGACATCATTAAAAACGCAGCAAATATTCTCCATAACAGATTACACATATGCTTGCATGGAAGACATGTAGGTTAAGTCTTCTTTCAGAAGGTTGTAGAAGTCTTGCCTCTAAAAATCACCTAAAATTTGCAGTGCTGTGTGGTTTCCTTAAATACAATATATTACGTTCAGAAAATCACATATCCAAACAGGAAAACAATATAAAAACTGGAATAGGCCTAGCGCATACTCTCGCCCTTTCTGAATTATTCAGTAAGTATAGGTACTAGGCCCTATGCATATACAGGGGCGGCACCAGAGAATGTTGAACGCAGGTGAGGGGGTGCTAGATCATTGACAGGGGGAGCTGGGCAATTCAGGGCTCCAGACTCATTCTTCCCACTGGTCGCTCTTTTGCGACTAACTTTCTCAGTTGGTCACACTAGCCCATGTTTTTTTT